GCATGAGGAAAAATTGTGGAAATTAGGGCATCAAATTCTCGAGTTTAATTCCCATCCAAATAGGCGTCATTTCACAATTTCCATAGTGTTATTTACAAAACTCCATCATTTACAAAATTCGGCATACATAAATCCAAACACCGAAATGTTCAATTGTTAGAAATTGAAATGATGGAAATCTAAATTTTGTCATGTTAGAATTCTATGTCATTTTCAATTCATTCATCCAAACGGAGGGTTAGATAACACACACAAACATCTCTTATTGTTACATTTTCAAGTATTCAAATTATTATAACATACTTTGCTTTATCTTCTTCAAGGTTAACAACGTTGTTACCTTGGACATATATGATCACTTAAAACAACAAAATTAGTTGAACCTGAACCTTGAGAGAAGAAAAAATATTTATTGTTATAAAAAAATAAAAAATAAAAAGATCTAGGGCATGCGCGCGGTATTCTTGACTCTAAACTGGGAATAGAATTCGATATTGCATTTTAAGTTTGTGAAGACTTAATTGAATTGTATTTGTTAGCAGATGACCACAGATTTGATCACTTGTTTAAGAATGAATTGATTTATTGAATGAGGTGGCAGCTGATAGTCTTGCCAGCCAATGGTGGAATAAAGTAGTGATAAGGCTAATTTGGTGATGCTAGTTTAAATCAGAGCAGAATTCCAGAGACATCTTTGTTCTTTATGTCAGTCTGAATTTATTCCCTTCGTCCTTTTTTTAGGTGGGATGCTCGATTTCGGGTCGATATGAAAAAAAGAAAAAAGAAAAAAAAAAGTACAATTGATAGGGATTGTAAGTGCACACCATATGAATTAATAGGCAGTTCCTATCCTAAACTGTTTATACAAACTAGGCATTCTACATGGATGAGTCTAGAATAAAAAGATATTAATATTAAACATGATAATTTTGCAGGGTTGTCCTAATTAATTACCATACTTCTAGTATTGGGTCCGGCCGTGTCCTGGGGAAACCCCACAAGGCGGGCCCATAGCGCCACCAATTACCTAGGTCCCTTAATTTCCCATACTATTCTCGTCTAGCCCTAGCTTCTTAATGTGAGAATTCTTTGAATAATACTATGGTATCTTATGTAAGTTCTTGAAATAAAAGAAAAAGATGGAGTATCTAATTGTGTGGTTACATTTTGTTTGCTGTTTTTTTCTTCGTATGATCTTGATATCAACTTACAATACATGAAGAATCGGAGACACTTCAAAGTTTCATCTTAGGCTCATAATCTCAGGGCCGGCCATTTAAGTGTTCTTCTACATGATGGTTCAATATTACCAAAATAATATGTGGTTGTATGCATTTGACTGCAGCGAAGCCATTAAAAAATATTGTGGTTTATAGTATTAGTTATGCAGTATTTCTCTTTACGAGAAGGAAGATTCGAACTTGAAAGTTGTTCTAATAATAATGGAGGAGAAATACTAGTTGATTAAGAGCTAGTTAGCATATAGAACAAACTTACTCTATGCTGGCGATAAGATTTCAACTCTCACCTTCATCTTTAGAGATTTTATTTTATCTTCTAAAGATACTCACAACCCTAAAGGAAGGCTACAGCAGGAAGCAAATAAATTGAACAGTAGACGGTAGCTAGCTGGAGTCTATAGATGAATCTCTACTGGCATCTACGTATGTACCTCAATCTGAGTCAAACCATGCATTTTCACAACTCTGAAATTCGAAGAACCAATTCCCGTTGACATTTTATATCCCAATACACCCGTATCTCACCCCCACCCACCCCCCCTCCTATTTGATTATATTCTCACATCCAATCAATTAATTCCCTTATCCTCGGAAATGGATGGTGGGGACAGATATTGTCTTGTGCTTAGCTTCACCCTGCGTGTGCTTTATGTTCGGGTCCGCAAATTTAACACTCACTCTATAAATTTGTGGCTCAGTTGCAGCAATGTAATTAAATTGTACATTGAGTCAGTCAAATATTTGGAAGATATTAATGCAAGATAGAGGATGAGTGTAGGTAGTTTGTGTAGTCTTCCATGGATAGATGGAGAGTAGATATGAGTCAGGAATGAGTAGCCAGCATTGGGTGCGAAGCAACGTCTTCCACCCACCCGGCTTGCTCATTGCTGACTCTTATTTGCTCTCGTTCTTGTCATGCAAGACACTGGACTAATAACATACCACGGATTGTATGTAGACTATGAGTGCAAACACAGCAACTAAGGAAGTTTTTTTATTTTTTTTTGGCTACACTTTCTCGTAATGGCGTGTAGTTGATGACTTGTGTATGAAAATTTTCTTTAAGAAAAACCGTTTATAGTGTTAGGTCTCCTTCGCTGCTAGGCATTGGTCTCTTCATCGGAATTGCCAAGATCTGATTAAGGACTGTAATTTCATTTTGCACCTGAAGCACGTTCATGGAGAACAAAATGGTGCTGCTGATTTCAATTGTTGGGCCACTAGACTGATTAGCCATCAAATTAAAATATCAAAATATCAAAATTCCATTGTTGATAAAACAATGTACTGCTTCATTAGTATCACATAATTACGAAGTTGTCTTTAGCTCCAATCTTATAGATTCTAGAGATTATTTGACTTTTCATGAGGCTTGGAGTTCAAATGGTTAAGAGTATTTATCTTTACACCCGATGTCTGGGTTCTATTTCTCCCTCTTCTAATATTGCTTGTGTAAATAAAAAAAAAAAAAAAAAAAAAAAAAAACTTAAAAAAAAAAGATAGATTTCTCTTTGAGGTCTCTTTGGTCGTATGAAAAAAGCTCCAATCGATCGCCGGCTAAAAAAATTAATGTGGATAGTAGTTAGAAATGCCCCTTAGGAACATGTTTAAAGGACAATCGATCAGTCATTTATTTTTTCAAGAAATTGTCAGTTACAGTTACCAATTGTTGCCCCATAACTGGCTGATTGGCTCTTTTTATTTTCTGTTATTGTTATTTTGATTCGAAGCCAATTGGTCCATACATGTAACATATTCAACTTTCATTTTTTACCAAAAAAATGTTTCATTCATTGGCATAAATGCGTATATGAATTAATAGTTATTTTATTATAATAATTTCTTTAGAGTCAAGTTGATTAGAACGGATGTGCTTCTCACTTTGCACTTAAGTTCGAATTTCCTTTTATGTAGTTTAAATTAGATTAAAGTAGAATATCGTTTGTATATAAAATAATAATAAATAAAAAATCCTTTAAAAACAACACAAAAAACATAAAAAAATTCATGAAATTGTACAGTTTATAATAAAAATTTATTCGACACACAACATAAGGACTATTAATAATGTTGGAAAAAAATTAAGAAAAAAGTATCGGCCAGAAGGATTTAGAGTTATTAGGTAGGCTATATAATTTCGGTGTGATATATATATATATATATATATATATATATTCATATACATACACAACAACGCTCGAGAAAGGGATTATATAAGTATACGCATTTTATAAGTTAATAATAGTACTAATTAATGTTTAGCTTCCCCACAGTACAATCCAAAATAATAGATGCTGCTTGATGAGCAAATTAGTAACTGGTTTTTTGTTTTTTTAACAAATATATGTTCCGTGTCAAATCCATATCCTATATTTCTACTCGCAACGTGAAGTGAAGAAATGCCGATGTTCACATAGGTTGGTCGGAATCAGAGAAAAGGATGGAAGAAGCAGCAGCAGCTTTAGACATGAAGCAATTAGCATGTTTTTTACAGAAAACAGTAGACTAGGCCCTACGTACTTGAATGAGAGCAAGACACAATGGAGTGTTTTTCTGTGTTCTTCTACGAACAAACAATCTTTCTTTCTACTTTTTCCTTTTAGCTCTTTTGGTCCCTCCTTGACCTATGTGTCTCTGGTTTGTCGCGGCCGACATCCAACTTAATGCTTGAGAAATCATGGTTCAATTTCCTTAATTCTGTCTTTCAAGTACTAAGGAATTTGAAAGTTCTAGACATTGTATAGGCTCTTGTTTGGCTAATCTAAAATTATAATGGAATTCAAACAGAGGCGTTACTTTATAAATGAGTGGTAGTGGTTGATAGATGTGTCAGTGTCATACGATATATTAGCTACTTTATTTGTGCAACACATTAGGTACCTAGTACCTACTAGGTAAATTATTTTATAAGTGGTACAATAGTCATAGAAAAAAAAAATATTAGTACATTAATTTAGATGATAATCATGTGTATTAAACAGAGGAATAGAAGTTTTGGTGTTTATTTTACAGTTTAAAAACTTATATTCATGCCATGCATGTGGCACTGCCTGATTGGTTGATAATACATACGAGACCACATAATAAAATATTGGCTACATATACATAATATACGTACGGTCCAACCCTCAATCAACCTTACATATCTTCTGTTGCAATGCGGGTCTGTGATGACAGATCGATAATACGGGATGCTTATATTCCCATTCTGACCAACTTTACAGCAATCCAAAGAAACAGAAAATCTTCGCGGTTTGAATCCGATTTTCCCTCTGAACGACCACGGAAGCATCTGGGTCCATACAAGTATATGATTGCTGTTAACTCCTGTGCAGGGAATAAAGAAAATTCTAATCGGATACGTTCATACACACGTACAGAGGGTTTACGGTTTAGAGTTCAGAGTATATGATGTTGGCATGAGTCAACGATCCTATTAGGAATAGAATTTATATTTTATTGTAATTATCTAATTTGAGTAGAATTAGGAGATTTTGTACATATTTCCTATTTGTACCCACTCTGTATGTAGTATATATATTCCTCCTTGAGAGAAGAATAAACATATCAGTTTAAACCCTAATTATTTTTGAGTTGGTATCAGAGCAGGTTCCGATTCGTCTCTACGACATCAAAACCCTAATCCTAAAAATACATATTTCCGCTGCACCTAGCCTATACACCTAAGCCTGTGCCGTCTTATATCTCTTACTATCGTCGTTGCCCCTTAATCTTTTGCTACCGCTGCCATCTATCACCATGTTAGATATCATTGAATCTTCTTCTTCTACTCCTATTGTTACGGTTCATATCGAATCGTCCACCAACCTATCTATGAGATTCAAATTGAATGGATCCAACTATGAGGTATGGGCTTCGATGATCGAACTTCATGCTACTACACAAGGCAAATTGGGTTACCTGACTAGCGACACTGATGCCCCTGATTCCAAAGACCCAAAATTTGGGAAGTTGAAAATTGTTGATGCTGTTGTGAAAAGTTGGATGCGAACTATGGAATCTAGTTTGTTGAATATGTTTCATACTCTGGTAAGGAAATTTGGAATGCTGTTAATCAGATGTTTTATGACGGCTCTGACATATTCTAGCTATATGAACTGCGGTGCCAAGCTACCCGTCTCAAGCAAGAGGGTCGTCCCGTCTCTACCTATTTTGCCGAACTTAAGGCAATCTGGCTTGAATTGGACAAGAGACGTCCATTTTAGATGAAGTGTGTTGATGATATGCAGACTTTTTAGGATGCTGTTATGGCAAATCGTGTGTATGATTTTTTGGCTGGCCTTGACGATTTTTATGGCAAGGTCCGCAGTGATATTCTACGGAGTGATAAAGTTCTAAGCATCGAAAATGTATTTTTTATGGTTCGTCGAGAGGCTCAACGCCAAATTATTATGCTTGGATCCGGCACCAAGATTAGGGAACCTACTGTTGCGTTTGCTTCCAAAAATACTATTTTGGTTTCTCGGCCTCCAGGGTCTAGCTCTTCTGCTGTTTCGCCTCATTGCCTGACTTCTGTAGAAAAAAAAAGAAAAGAAAACTGAAGTATGATCACTGTGGTGAAAAGAGACATATAATCGACACCTGTTGGGCATTGCATGGGGTACCAGATTAGGAGAAGGAGCGGAGGCATTTAAAAAGGGAACAACTAGACAGCAAAGCTCATATGGCTGTTGCCCCCACTTTTGTGGCTGACATCACCACTGGGCATGGCCCATTTACTGCTACTTTTCCTCCAACTTTGACCGCGTTCTCAAGCACTCCAACACCTCAACCTCCAAGTAACTGTGGCAAGGCTTTCTATGCCCATGATACTTGCGATACATGTTGGATTATTGATTCAGGAGCTACTGACCATATGACGTATAATTCTACTTTATTCTCTACTACTCTTCCGCCTTATCGTGATCATATTCTGACTGCTAATAATGTTGTTGCTCCTGTCATGGGGGCTGATTCTATACTCTTCACACCTACTTTACCATTGAACAAAGTGTTACTGATTCCATCTTTGTCTAGTGTGATTTATTATCTGTGCCGCAAGTTACTGAGTAGTTAAACTGCGTTGTACTTATGTATCTGTCTTTTGTCTTACTACAGGGTATCCAGACTCGGGAGATCTTTGGTCGTGGTACTAAAAAGGGAGGGCTTTATTATATGGATGATGTGGCAACTAGTCGGGTTCTTCTTGCACGTAGCGCTGAAACTTCTCAGCATTGCCGGATTTGGTTGCTACATTGCCGATTTGGTCATGCCTCCTTTGGATATTTACGGTATTTGTTTCTTACATTATTTAGTGGTGTCAACGAGTTTGCTTTCCAATGTCAGACTTGTATTTTAGCTAAGAGTCATTGAGTATCCTGCCTTCCAAGTTGTAATAAATGGCTTATGCCATTTGATTTAGTTCATTCTGATGTTTAGGGACCTTCCCCTATTTCTACAGCCTTGGGAGTTTGCTGGTTTGTGTTATTTGTGGATGATTGCACTCATATGATGTGGTTATATGGGATGAAAAATAAAAGTGATGTCGTTGAAATTTTTCAGCGTTTCTATTAGATGATTCAGACTTAATTTATGCTTCCTACCAAGGTTTTTTGATCTGATAATGGTGGAGAATTTGTTAATTTGGCGTTATCCCATTTTTTTCACACTAAGGGTGTACTCTATAAGACTACTTGCCCTCAAACACCACAATAGAATGGGGTTGCTGAACGTAAAAATGGGCAGATCCTTGCTGCTGTCTGTGCTCTGCTGCTTGTTGCGTAAGTTCCAAAGTGGTTTTAGATGGATGCTGTGATCTATGCAGTCTATCTCTTGAATTGTCTACCTTCACGAGTTTTGGATTTCCAAACTCCTATGCAGGTACTGACCCATCATCTCTCTACCTCTTTTATGTTGACTTTGTATCTAAAGGTGTTTGGTTGTGTCGTCTATGTTCACTTCCATCATAACTAAAGGAGTAAGTTGGACCCCTATGCTCTCCGCTATGTCTTTCTGGGTTTCTCTCCTCATCAAAAAGGCTACCGATGCTAGCGTCTTGCAACCCGACGTCTCTATGTCTCTATGGATGTTACCTTTATTGAGGATGAAATGTTCTTCTCTGATACACCCCGAGCATGTCCTTCAAGGGGAGACTAGTAGTGAAGGACATAACTGGCTAAATTTACAAGGAGGTGTAGTATTGGATAGTTTGATACAAAGGGAAGAACCGACCGAACCTGCTGAACTGGCTGAACCTGATTGACTGGCCAAACCTGCTACACTAGCTAAACCTGCTACACCCGTTGAACCTGCTATTTTAACTGAGGTAACTGTTGTCACTGAACCAATTGCCCCCCATGAAGCTTAGTACCCGATCAAGCTCCCCTGGATAATCCTGAGGTAAGTGCTTCTATTCATACTATTGATAATTCTTATGTTTTACCGCCTAGACGGAACCGTGAGGTTCCAGCTAATCGTTACTCACCAGAAAGCAAAGCAAGATATGTTATTACCCATTATGTGTATGATCACAGGTTATCTCATGAGTGTAATGCTTTTGTGGCCATAATGGATAGTATTAAAATTCCAACCCGTGTTGAGGAGGCATTTAATGATCCAAAGTGGGTTGAAGCCATGAATATTGAAATGGAGGCGCTATAAAAAAATAATACATGAAACATTGTTGATCTACCAAAGGGAATGAAGCCTGTAGGATGCAGATGGGTTTTTTCAGTTAAGTATAATGTAGATGGTACTGTGGAGAGGTACAAGGCAAAATTAGTAGCTAAAAGGTTCACTCAGACTTATGGAGTTGATTATCGTGATACTTTTGCACCTGTGGCTAAGATGAATACTGTCAGAGTTTTGTTGTCCTTAACAGTAAACTTAGATTGGACCTCGAGGCAATTTGATGTAAAAAATGCATTCTTACATGGTGAACTAGAAGAAGAAGTGTACATGAGTCTTCCACCAGGGTATAGCGTTATCGGTGACACGGGGAACGTGTGTGTGGTAGCAAATATTTTCGTCTTCAATCTTGGCACGCCATGTGGAAAAGAAGATTATCTCTTAAATTAATTAATTGAACCAGTTTATCTGACCAATTAATTAATTGTGATAAATATCTTAATTAATAGGATATTATCTTTATTTAATAAGATAATATCATTAATTCAGATATTATCCTAATAAAGAGAAGATAATATCATTAATTTAGATATTATCTTCATAAAGAGAAGATATCATTAAATCAAATATTATCTTCAATAAAGAGATATAATCAAGTTCGACTCGATCCCTACAAATTTGGATAGAGAATAAACTCATCATATTTTCTACGAAACCCTAGCCCCGATGCTCCTATAAATAGACAACTTTATTCATCATTCAAGGTACATCTAAATCTACTCCTAATACCCGAGAAAAATACCCGAAGCTCTCTCCCTCTCCCTCTCCACTCTCCATATTTTCTCCACAAGGCTCCGGCCGCCCGGTTCACACCACACATATAACTCCATACTCTTTGCTTAGCTATTGTTTTCCTACAAACACTCGAACTAACTTAGGCATCGGAGGGCCTTTGGCCAACACTCCCTGGGTGTAGTCTATTTACTCCAGTCTTTTTTTATAAGAATCGAGGAGGAGAGAGAAGGAAGATCGAAGGTTGAAAGATCTAAAAGCGAATATTCTCATGTGAGATTATTTGCACAAATATTTGGTGCTTTCATTGAGAGCACGAGTTATACCCAACGCGTGCTCAAGGAATCTGTTCCTCCTATTTTCCAATCCACTGAAGCCTTCCAAACAACCATGGTTGGAAGCAAGCGTACGAGGAGCAAAACCGCCGCGATGGCTCAATCCGTGATGGCCCAAAGCTACTCCTCCTACGATCCCGCAATCGACGTGGCAACTCCACCGCCATGAACCCTAGCTGCCGCACCACATCAGCCACCCCATTGTGACTGGAACCACCACGTTGACCTCTACCGTCGTCGTACCATCTCAAGGTCCCATGGCCGGATCTAGCCACCTTCATAGCACTGCCGCCGAGCATGGTGGAATCTCTCGTCAAGGTGTGCTCACTACCACCAGCGACTTTGACCCAATCTTGGAGCAACTTCAAGCATTTCCTTCGTTGCCCCCACGCTCGACGCACGCTCCTGCGTACACATCCAATGACACCCTAGCCCGTGTGCAATTGGGCTCCACACATTTCTCTCCTCCCAATCCACGAAGTCAAGTAGACCTTAATCTGAGAGTTGACCAGCTAACTCAGAGAATGGACGACCAAAATAATTTGATGAGGTAGCTCCTCAACCAAATAAACTTGGCTTAAAACCTTAGCCTTGGACAACAAGGCGAAGAGAGAAGGATGGACGAAAATACTGATAGGCAGTTCGAGGGGAACCAAGCAGGTCGAGCAAGAGTAAGCAGACAAGGAGATGGACAACAACGCGATCAGCTTACCGACATTTCGCAAGCATCTACAAGCCACACTCAGAGTAGATGAAGTCTCCCATCCAGATTGAATTTAAGGACCAATGTGCGCGATAGGCTAGGCCCACAACTTGGCTTCCGCGCTTGCCTAGGCATGTAGGGAAATGTTCATGAAAGCTTAGGCCCCCAGGGAGGTTAACTTGATAACCCTCACAATGAGGATCGTGAAGAAAGGCGCTCCGTTGCTCTCTCTCGAAAAACCAATTCACGTCTCCAAGTTACAAAGAATCCCTCGCAAGCGTAGTCCACCAATATGCCGCCTAAGCAGCGCAGCCGAGAAGGTCAACCCTTGCAAACCAACGAGGAAGTTAATCAGTCTCGCCCAAATCGTAAAGGTCATCAACGTAACCGACTGGCCATGTGTGCAGAAGATGTTGAGAAGCTTGTGAATAACCAACTTCGAGACTTAAAGATTGGTGAAAATTTCGAAGATGCACTACATGTTGAGGTAGAACGAGCAAATTCATCAACTTTTACCGCCGACATCGAGCAGGCTGCTCCCTCGAAACGATTCTTAACACCCTATTTCACATGCTTCAAAGGGGATTCTGATCCCGAAAGCCATTTGAAGCATTTCAAAAGCCTTATGATTCTCTACAAAGCCGAAGGGGCGCTAATGTGCAAGGTGTTTGCAATGACTTTACGAGGAGCAGCTTAGGACTAGTTCCACACCCTGCCATCCGAGTCGATCAGCAGCGTCAAGGAGCTTGCTTGTGTCTTCACCAAAGAACCATGATCACCTGTACTTCTTATCGGATGATCAAAAAGAACCATGATCACCTGTACAACCTACGCAAGAAGCTAGATGAACCCCTTCTAGATTACATCAAGAGATTTAAAGCAGAAATGCCAACATCGTAGGGTGCGATGACCGAATCGCATCCTCTGCATTCAGGAAAGGTCTTCCAGCAGAACACGACTTATACCACGTGCTGACTATCACTTTCAGCCAGACTCTAGTAGAGGTCTTTGCGACGACGGAACGTTACGCGCTCTAGGATGATGATCGAATCGCCGCGAAGAAGTCCACTGAGCAGGAAGATTAACCGACCAAGCGGGTAGACCAAAGAAGCGACAGGCTTGACAACAAGGACAAAGACAAACGCAGGTCGCGCCCACAAGGAGACGTTATGACAAAAGAGAACTACACCAAGTTCTCCATCTGTATACATCAAATTTTAGCCTAAGTGAAGGACAAACCTTGGGTAAAAAGACCGCCACCCTTAAAAGGAGATCCGGACAAGAGGTATACCATAAAATATTGTGTCTTCCATGCAACACACGGGCACAATGTGAATAATTACTTTGCTTGGAAAGCGCACCTCAAAGAACTCGTGAGAGCATGTCACTGCATGGAGTTCATCGCGAAGCAGGCCATCCAGCAGATAGAGGATCGCGATACAGCCAAGGAGCCACCCCAGAAGGTCATAAGGATTAACACAATCCTAGTCGACTTCGAGGAGTCCGAACTGACCAACAATGAAAAGAAGAGAAATATCAAACAGGCCACCATGATCTCTCATGTCTCCACTAGTTTCCCATTGGTAGAAGACGATACCGTGATCGGCTTCCAAAAGAAAGATCTAATCGGCCTTGATCTACCACACAACGACGCCCTTGTCATTACCATTCAAATTGCTCAAGCCATTGTCGACCGAATCCATACAGACGAGGATAATGCAGTCAACATCCTACAATTGGTGGTCATCCAATAGATGAGCTTAGAGACAAAGTTCAATAAATTAACCAAGTCGCTGACAACGGTTACCGTGGCCACGATAGATCTCAACGTCTATTCCCCACCTGTAATTAGCTCGCAAACGTTCATGGTCATTGATGAAGTCTCACCCTACAATGACATTCTGGGCAGACCATGGATTTGCAAGATCGACGCCATCACCTCCGTCACACATTAGAAGATTCGCTACCCAATCCCTAGGGGCGGTATCGGCCAAATCAACAGTGATGAGGTAATGGCGAGGAAATGCTCAGCTCAAGGGCGAAAGAAAGGCAAGTAAACACAGTTCCTCCCTGTAAATCAATCAGATCTAAAGGGAGAAGAACAAGCAGAGGAGAAAGCAGATCTCGTTCCTGACGGTCGAGCAGACCAGAAGGGAAAGGGAATAACTACTCCCCAATAGCAATCAAAGAATCAAGACCAAGTCGAGGGAATCTATCTGGAGGTCTCTCCTGAAGAAGGATGGAAGCCCGAAGAGGACATTGAGCTAACACCCATTGATCCTAACAAGCCAGAGAGAAAAGTGTGGATCGGCTCACGCCTAAGCCAGGAGGAAAATGCAGAGTTTGTTGCCTTCCTCCAGAACAACAAAGATGTATTTGTATGGTCGTCATCCGACATGTCTGGCATTGATCCCCAGATCATCTGTCATCGCCTACACGTCAACCCAGCTATCAAGCCTATAGCGCAAAAGAAATGGAACTTCGCCCTCGAGCAGGCTGCCATCATTGAAGCCGAGATTGACAAGCTTCTAGATGCCGGTTTCATTGAAGAAGTCTCCTATGCAGAATGACTGGCGAATGTTATTCTAGTAGCAAAGAAAGATAAAGGCCTATGGAAAGTATGTGTCGACTACACCGACCTTAACAAGGCATGCAATAAAGACAACTTTCTACTGCCAATAATTGATCAGCTTATCGATTCAACTTCCGGCAATCAACTGCTAAGCTTCATGGACGCATACTCCGGCTACAACCAAATCATGATGCATGAAGACGACAAGGCAAAGACCTCATTCATCATCGAAAGAGGTACATACTGCTACAAAGTCATGCCCTGTGGGTTGAAGAATGCTGGAGTAACCTACCAAAGGCTGGTGAACAAAATTTTCAAGGTGCAAATCAGCAAGACTATGGAGGTCTACGAAGACGACATGTTAGTCAAAGCTCCCGAGCGAGCAGACCACATCAAGAACCTTGCCGAGGCATTCAGCCTACTTCGAAAATACAACATGAAGTTGAACCCGAGCAAATGCACGTTTGGAGTCTCGTCCGGCCGATTACTGGGATACTTAGTCACTCAAAGAGGAATTGAGGCACATCTAAGTCAAATCAAGGCTATACTCAACATGAAGTCACCTGCCATAACAAAGGAGATACAAAGTCTAACGGGTAGAGCGGCAGCTCTCAACCGATTCCTCTCAAAATCTACCAACAAGTGTAGGCTATTCTTCAAAGCCTTAAAGAAAGGACACAAAGACAAGTGGGATGACGAGTGTGAAGTAGCTTTTCAAAGCTTGAAAACCTACCTCACTTCACCTCTCTTACTCTCAAAACCAATACCAAGCGAAGACTTGTACATCTACCTGGCAATGTCTGACTCAGCTGTTAGCTCAGCTCTCATCCAAGAAGAGCTGGGGGCACAACATCCGATATTCTACACTTCAAAAGCTCTCCTCGGTGTAGAGACTTGCTATCCAAAATGGAGACACTCATTTTTTCGCTTGTGTTTTTCACGAGAAAACTAAGGCCTTACTATCAAGCACACCAGATAATTGTCATGACGGAATTTCCTTTGAGATCGATCCTCCATAACCCTGACGCTTCTCAGCGACTCATGAAATGGGCTATCGAACTCAGTCAATACGACCTGCTCTAAAGGCCGATGACTACTATAAAAGCTCAAGCTTTAGCAGATTTTGTTGTAGAGTTTACTCTGACAGCTGAAAAAGAGAAGATGGTCGTGAAAAGTAAGGAAAAAGAAGACGATACCTCCCCCACTCGTTTGAACCTACCTAATGATCTGTGGCAGTTGCATGTAGACGGAGTATCAAATCACAAAAGAGCGGGGGCAGACAGAACTTTGTTGGAACAAGCCATCACACTAGACTTTTATGCTTCAAACAACGAGGCAGAATATGAGGCATTGCTCGCTGGACTGCGCCTAGCAAAAGAACTATCGATCAAGAGATTGGTCATCTGCTCAAACTCCCAGCTGATCACGAATCAAGCCTTAGATGAGTACATGGCTAAGCATCCAAGAATGGTCCAGTACCTCGACAAAGTCCAAGGTCTTTTGAAAGAATTCCTTACTTTCACCATCCAACAAGTTCCACGGGCAGAGAACGCTCATGCAGATGCGTTGGCGAGCCTTGGATCAGCACTGAACACCCAGTTTAGACGCTCCATCCCGGTTGAACACCTTGATCGGCCAAGCATCGAAGAAATAGAGCCAATCGACTTAATGCAGATCGATGAAGACTCCAGCTGGCAAGACCCCATTATCGACTACGTAGTGAATGGAAATCTGCCAACATATAAGTCCGAAGCTAGGAAGGTCCAGTAGAAAGCCGCGAGATACTAAATGCAAGGCGACAAGCTCATTCACAAATCATACTCTAGCCCTCATCTCACTTGTATTAAATACCCTCAAACACTTGAGGTCCTTTGAAAAATTTACGACGGTGAGTGTGGCATCCACTCTGGGGGCAAGTCAATCACCCATAAGGCTCTAAACGTAGGCTATTTCTGGCCTACTATGCACCATGACTCCACTGAATATGTCAAAAGATGCGATTGCTGCCAACGGTACAAACTAGTTCCTAACCTACTTGGTAAAATCTAATATCCGCAGAATAGTCCATGTCTTTTCATGCAATGGGTCATCGACTTAGTAGGCTCCATTCCAACGACACTTCGGGAGATGCAACCCGTAAAGAAGCGTCCTAAGGAAAGCATCCAGGTTACTATCCGTTTCCTAAGGGGGCAGGATAGTCATACAGTTGTCCATAAAAAGCGTCCTTCAGGAGACGAAGCCCACAAAGCAGTATCTTAAGGGAGTCGCATGGTGCACTAGGAATTTCCTAAGTGAGGTATCCAGGTTTCTATCCATTTCCTAAGATGGGTAGGATAGTCATACAGTTGTCCATAAGTAGCGTCCTAAGGGTGACGCAGGTCAACGACCAAAAGTGTCCTTCGGGAGATGCGGCCCAAAAAGAAGCGTCTTAAAGGAGACGCAGGATGCGCCAGGAATTTCCTAAGGGAGGTATCCGGGTTCCTATCCGTTTCCTAAGGGGGAACATGATAGTCATACAATTGTCCATAAGCAGCGTCATAAGGGAGGCGCAGGGCAACGACCAGGAGCATCCTAAGTGTTCTCCGGAAAATGCAGAATACGCCCGGAGTCCCTCAAGGGGGACCCTAGCTTTTGCCAAAATCCTAAGGGAAATGTACAACCAATACAATAGCCGGTTACTCAAGCAGCTCAGAAGACAATATGCAAATTGAAGTTGAAAAAATAATAACTGAAATTTCCATAGCAAAGTGACTAATCGGTCAAGTTCAACAAAAAGAAGATGGTCAAACAAGACAAATTATTATAAACAAAAAGCAAACTACAAAAGCTAAAAAGAAATAAAGGAATCTTCATCTACTCCGAGATGCCAGCAAGAGATCCATAATCTGCAGTCTCTTCTGCATTCGCCTGATCAGCCACGCTCTCAGCAGCTCCACCTGCCTGATTCGCACATCTGCCACCTTTTTTTTTTTTTTTTTTTTTTTTTTTTTTTTAATTTTTTTTATTTTATGAAAATGTTGCTTCCCTTTGTTTTTTCCAAGGAAAGACTTGAAAATGTATCAAGATTGCTAGCCTGATAAATATGATCAACCAACTTGAAGCAAGCAAACGGGCTTGACAGGAAGTTCGTATTCAGCAGAATAGACACATTTGCATCCCTTGCAGGGCTAGACTTGTCCACCTTGGAATCAGCCACTAATGTTGCAGAAGAACCTTTCGCCTGAGGAGATGACTCTCTCGCCTTCTTAGCCACCGCCATCCTCACCTCCAAAGGAGTCAATGACGACGAATCAACTCCAAACTTGACTGCTTGTCACTTTACAGTTGGATCATGATGGTTGGGTAGATAAGCAGACCTCCCAGTTCGACCTCCATCCTTTGATTGGTGCAGACGACCCGAACTTTGGAGAAAAACATCTACATCTCTTTGCCTCCCAGCAAGTGAACTAGATCACGCACGGACCACTTCACGGAGCAGATCACAGTCTCCAAGCTTGTCTGCATAAGGCAAAAGTGAAACATCCCTGATATTGCGCATACCACCAATCTTCTTGCTATATGCACCAATGATATGTTTAACTCCAGCTGATGACAGAGGAACAACTCTTACTTAAGTCTTCTCAATAGAAGGGATCCTTAACTTCTTCCTCAACAGGGACACATCCTTCGCCAGCAAAGTTGCAGCTTCATTTCTTGAAGACTTGACATCAGCCTTCCTTTTAGAGGATCATCAGAGTTCGAACCATTTTGCTTCCATCTCTCAACACCTTGGGCAAGGGGCAGACCACCAACTTTCTCCCGATACTTGCTCAGCAGCAACTAGCGGTCACCGCCGCTCCAACTGTCTTCGGCCGCCAATCATGACGTCAACCAGCCTGGTCCCACCTAGCTGGTCCTCGCCGCGAAAAAGAGAAGACGATGGAAAAATATTCGTGCTCGGCGTACCTTGGGATGCATGTCAACTCCTCTCTTCGACAAGCAGTATAAATTCTCAAAGTTCTGCTAGAAAGTAGAGAAGTTAAGTTTGCGATGTGAGAAAGAGTGAAGAAAAGCTATGTATTTATACAAGTTGGACGACCCGAGTCAAGAAAGAATCGCAAGCTCATTCCTACTAGGAATCCAACTCCAACAATAGTCAGAAGCCTACACCAATTGGGAATCTGATCTGCAAAGGAGTCCAACTCACAGAATAAAGCCTAGACACAGTTGGAGAGCCTGAAAAAAAAAATTAATTTCATCTCCTACATGCCACACAAGCACCATGCAGAAGCTATAGGCCATTTGTGAGAGCAAATATTTTCGTCTCCAATCTTGGCACGCCAAGTGGAAAAGAAGATTATCTCTTAAATTAATTAATTGAACCAGTTTATCTCGCAAATTAATTAATTGGGATAAATATCTTAATTAATAGTATATTATCTTTATTTAATAAGATAATATCATTAATTCATATATTATCCTAATAAAGAGAAGATAATATCATTAATTTAGATATTATCTTCATAAAGAGAAGATAATATCATTAAATCAAATATTATCTTCAATAAAGAGATATAATCAAGTCCGACTCGATCCCTACGAATTTGGATAGAGAATAAACTCATCATATTCTCTACGAAATCCTAGCTCCGAGACTCCTATAAATAGACGACCTCATTCATCATTCATGGTACATCTAAACTTACTCCAAATACCCGAGAAAAATACCCGAAGCTCTCTCCCTCTCCCTCTCCACTCTCCATATTTTCTCCACACGGCTCCGGCCATACATATAACTCCGTACCCTTTGCTAAGCTATTGTTTTCCTACAAATACTCGAACTAACTTAGGCATCGGAGGGCTTTTGGCCAACACCCCCCTGGGTATGGTCTATTTACTCCAGTCTTTTTTTACAGGAATCGAGGAGGAGAGGGAAGGAAGAAGTTTGGTTACCAACAGGCCAATACTGATCATACTCTATTCATTAAACGTAGGGCTGGTAAGGTGACTTCGTTGATTATTTATGTTGATGATATGATTGTGATTGGTGATGATACTGCAAAAATCGAGGAACTGCAGAAGCGTTTAGCATTTGAATTTGAGATGAAAGATTTGGGCTGTCTGAAATATTTTCTAAGGGTGGAAGTCACTCGATCTAAACATGGCTTATTTCTTTCACAAAGGAAGTATGTCATGTACCCGTTAGCAGATACTGGAATGCTTGACTGTAAACCAGCTGATACACCTATTGTTGAGAATCATAATCTTGGTGTTTATGTGGATAAGGTCCCAACTAACCAAGAAAGATACCAAAGGTTGGTTGGGAGATTTATTTATTTATCATTGACACGCCCTGATATTGCCTATGCGGTAAGCGTTGCTAGCCAATTTATGCATTCCCGTAATGATGATCGTATGGCTGCTGCGATGCGTATTCTAAGTTACTTAAAGTTTGCTCCTGGGAGAGGTTTATTATTTAAGAAAAATGGCCACTTGGATCTAGAAGGTTGCACTAATGCTGATTATGCAGGGAATATTACATATAGACATTCTACAGCAGGTTACTTCACATTTGTTGGTGGTAACTTAGTTACATGGCGTAGCAAGAAGCAAAACGTTGTGTCTTGGTCCTCTGCAAAGTCTGAGTACAGAGGGATTACCCAAGGGGTTTGTGAAATACTGTAGTTGAGGTGGTTACTAGCCGAAATTGAGTTTAGACCGAATGCTGCTACAAAACTCTACTGTGATAATCAGTCTGCATTTGAAATTACTAACAATCCAGTGCAACATGATCGAACGAAGCATGTAGAAGTTGATCGGCATTTCATTAGGGAGAAGCTGGAGCATAAGTTAATTTCTATACTTTTTGTGCCTTCTTCAGAGCAGCTTGTAGATATGCTGACCCATGTCGTGTCAAAGTGCCGATTTGAAGACTCACTTGACAAGTTGGGCATTATCGATATCTATGCACCAACTTGAGGGGGAGTGTTGGCGTGAGTCAACGTTCCTATTAGGAATAGAATTTGTTCCTATTAGGAATAGAATTTATATTTTATTGTAATTATCTAATTTGAGTAGAATTAGGAGATTTTGTACATATTTCATATTTGTACCCACTCTGTATGTAGTATATATATTCCTCCTTGAGAGAGGAATAAACATATCAGTTTAAACCATAATTATTTTTGAGTTATGATTGCTGTTCTACGTGTATAGATTCTTGAAATGATCATGTCTTGGTTGTGATTTAGCGATAGCGGCAGCTTGAGGATTGGTAAGCGCCTTATAATGAGGCTTATCTGCACAACATCCCATTTGCTTGATTCTTTTTCATTTCTGTCGTTTCATGAGCTTTTAATCATTTATGGGTCCACAACAGTCACATGACCCTTCAAATTGGAAAACAGGGCTGCATAAAATGTAATGAACTGCAGGGGTTGATGATTGATTAAGTGTTCCATTTGTCTGAGAGTATTGAGAGTAGAAATGAGCCGAGGATGACTTGCCAGAATTTGGTATTATTCTATCGAACTTCTTATGGGAAGTCATCCTTGGTTCACCTTTGCTCTCTTTTCTCTCATGTTAGATCCTAAAGGACCAAAATTTACATTGGTATGTTTGCACCCTCAATTGCCTCCTATATGTTTTTATTACATACCTCTTCATGCATGTGTGATTTTTTTAGCCTAACACGTGTAAAATTTATATTGGGTAACGTTTGAGCTTGTTTGACCATTAGGCCAAGCAAATGGATAACTTGGGGTTGGGGCATGTGTTAAATTAGACTATTGAGCCCAAAACGAATTTGAAATTAGTGAAAATAATCAAGATATTGTAAGCACTAATGCAATCTCCAGTGAGAGATATACCTTAAAAAACTATGATGGTTGCATTCAATTGCAGGTTTATTTGTTAGCAATAGCCGATCCTCAACTTTCTACATACTATTTTTTTTTCCATTTTCTAGTGTATCAGACCATTTTAAAACTCAACATTCTAGAAAACTTCAAATTTCAATAACTAATAAGTTACAATTCAACAATCCGACCTGTTTACAAAAGCTTAAAACCAAACCAATAATATACGATTCAAGCTTAAAACCAAATTAAATAATAAAAATTTATGTACTTTTTAAAAATAGTTCTAAAAAATTAATGAAAAGAAAGAGATTCATAGTGTGCCAGAAGGCTGTGTAGAAGTCCAAGTTGAAGCTAAATAGCATAGGCTGAGCATCATCAAATAATGAAAAGAAACTTAACCTATGAACCCATGAACCCATCAAGCTCAAGCTCCTTCCTTGATCTGAAATCAGTCTTTTTCCATTGGATCAGCAAGACTGGTTTTCAACTGATCACCACGCAACCCATTGGTTCCCTCAGGCTCAGAAATCTTGGGCGCCACTTGAATTGCCCCTGGCGAGGACGGCAGCTTCAGTCATCACAGCCGCTGCGATCCTGGCGCGGCGAAGAGGGCCTTGGCGGCATCCTTGTCGATCACGATTGTTGTTTGGCTTCTTGGCAGTCGTTTTGGCGGCGGAGGTTGAAGAAGGAGAAGGTGGGTTGGGAGCAGGGAGGGCACTGGAAGTCGCGGAAGGAGGAATTGGCGGCGACGCATGCAGAGTGAGAGATGGAAGGGCACATGACCTGGTCACGTACTGGAAGGGGTTGCTTGTAGAAGTCGAGGCAGATAGGGCAGAAGAGGCCTGGGTTGTTCTTGAGGAAGCAGTTGGTGCAGAGCTTACGATAAATTCCTCTGTGGCGGACGTAGTGGAGGAACCACCGCTCTGTGGAGCCGCAGACGCTAGAGTTGCTTATCGAGCTCGGGTAGGTCAAGCTTCATTGCTATTGAGTGTGAGATTGGAGGGTCGGGATTATTGGGTAACGGTAACCCTAGGAGGAGGAAGAAGAAGACGACGAGGGAGGTGGAATTTAGGGTATTTTTGGGTGCGAATAGGGGCTAGGAGAAGACGAGGTTCAGAGCCGAAAATTTATATGATTTTAAATTATTTTTTTAAGTAGAAATTTGTTTATTATTTGTATGTCCACCTGAAAGTCCATATCATTAAAAAAATGGAGTCCATGTTTGATACATCAGTATTTAACAGATTTATTAATGTTTTGTGTAACGAAATGGTCAATTTATAGAATTTTTGAGAGTTTGAGTATAAAGTTATAAATGTCTTACCAAATTAGTATGAACTTGAAAATAACCCCGGGACTCTTTGTGTAACTAGCCTAAAATAAAATCAGGAGACTAATGTGAAAACAATAACAAAAATATAAAAGGTAATGATGTAATGTTGTAAAAGCTTGTAACATAGAATTTGAAAGTCAAATATTGCGGTCTAGGTTAGGTGGATGAAATATTGCCTGCTACTCTCACCACAGCAACCACAATACAACCAACCATAGGGGTAGATCGGAATCTGGAGAAAGAATACACGAAGCTGTAGAAGAGGTTAAGAATTTGAAGAAAACAACCTGTTCTAACAAAAAAAAACATAAGAAAAAGTGAGTTTGCTCATTAATTGGGATCAGAGAGGACCTTTCCTATAATTCTGCAAAAAAAAATTGCAAGAAATTTGTAGCTCAAGTAGTTAAAGAGCATTTACGCTTTCACTCTCCCCTGATATCACTTGTGTAAAAAAATTATAATAATACATAATGCAAAAGTCAGTGAAAATGTTGAGGCACTAAAACAATCCCAAGTCTCAGAGGCTGACATGAGAAGAAGAGAGCAAAATGTAGCCAAAGACAACTTGCCGGCAAACCTCAGCTGCATAAAGCAAGAGTACTGTAAATGCCGGCAAGTCATCCTTGGCTGCAATCCAATCTCTTGTGCTTCATGTGAACACTCTGAGACTGCACAAAAGAATTAATGGCTACATATACAAACGATCCACATTTATTGAATTTTTTTCTCCCTCACATCCACAGATGTATATCTGATTTTGCAATGCATTTGCTTCTAATTATATAGGCAGAAATGGTGATGATAGTTTCACAGTACGGAAACCAGCTTTACAGTAAAGAAAAGAAAAAGAAAACACTTTGCAGCGTGGATATGATTATGCCTCCCAATCCCAAAGGCCATAAACAAATATTTTCCATGAAAGAATATATATATTCTAATATTTTTTGCAACCTTTTTGCCTCATTTGAATAGCAGAAGAAACTCAGGCTCAGCACAAGATCTTTGGGCCCAACTTCACATCCACTGCATCGAATAAAGAGACATAATAGGGATGGGCTTAAATATTTGATTGCTGTTCTCAGAATAGATTCTTAAACATAAATTACTCACATCCACTGCACGGAATAAATAGACATTAGAACACCTCCACCCCAAGGGCAAGATAAAGGTAAGGTAAGGTTTGTCACTATTCACATGAATAGTGACAGTCCTTGCTTTTTTTTGTTTCCATCCTTATGGGCTAGGACAAAGGCAATTACTATTCATATGAGATATAAGAAGATGAATTTGTATAGAGTTTTTGGTGTGGGAAGTAAAGAATATGGCTAGTTTATATTAAAAAATAAAATTTTTTTTTTTTAATAAAAAAAAAAATAAAAAAAAAAAAAAAAAAAATAAAATTTTTTTGGTTTTTTATTTTTTTCATTTGTTTTTTGGTTTGCTAACGTCATTATGACATCAACAACCTTCGAGCAATAGCCCAGGCGATTCTTGCTCGTGGGCTTGCCCATGCTGGTAGGTCCCACCCCTTGCTCTAGCTGGACCTTGCTCGTTGAAGAGGGTTTTTGGGCCTGGGGCTGCCTTTTGCCTGCCTTTGCCCCTTGCGCTGGAGCTATCCTATTAGAGCATTTTCAGCAAGGGGCCCAAGGGGTGGGCTGGGGGGGTTTGGGGTAAAAACTCGTTTCCAGCAGTGGAGGCATGCCCGGGCGCGATGGTGGGACCCAGCACAACTGGCTGGCCCGAGTTCCAGCCAGGGCTGGCCCGAGCTCCAACCAGGGCTGGCCAGTGCTGACGTCGTCGTGACGCCAGCGCTACAGTGTCGCCAACAATTATGTGCCATGTGTCGTGTCCTGGGCTCTCCGATCATAATTTTTGCTCCAATCCAACGTCAGCTAATATTTTTGTAATAAAAAATTGATAAAAAAATCCGAAAAAATTGAAAAAAAAACCAAAAAATTACTTTTTTTCTTCTCTCTATACCTTATTTCCATTTTCAACATTTAAGTAAATGTCTTTGTCCTTTTATTTTTATTTATTTTTATATTACTCCATTTACTTAAGTTTACAATGTAAATAAAGAAGTACCCTCTATTTGGATTCAAATAAAAATACTAGAAAATCAAATTCCCACCAAATCAAAATATGAAAAATCAGTTTTAGTGCAAAATACGATTTAGGCTAAAAATGATGGCTCATTAAGTCAATATATACTTCATATTAAAATCTCATAAAATCAAATTTTCTTATTTGATGTGTAAGGAATAAAAGCCGCCAAAAATTATCTTGAGAAAATGATTATTCCGAAAACCCATTTTTCATACTTAGTCAATATTGCACCTCCGCTTTTAACACTTTTAACACCAAATCCTCATACTTGTTTTTTTTTCTATAAATACCAACCAATACAACTAATTAAATAAAATCTTATCCGAAAATATTATCCGATAAAATAAAATCTTGCCTTTCATTTCTTAGTTTGCATGCCTTTCATTTAATTGTATTTTTTGTTTTGTTTTAATAATTAGTGGTCATTCATGTATTTTATTTTATTAGTTGTATTGATTTATCTGAAATTTGAAATTTGAAATTTATATGAAATTTGAAACCAAAAATATTATCCGATATGAATAGTATTGACACGTAGGAACCCAAAAATCTTATTCGAAAATATTATCCAAATAAAATGTTTAAGTAAACAAAGTTGTGAAAAAAAACAAAAAAAAGAATAGTATTTGTCATGGCAAGCCTAAAACTGCTGAAAACACACTTTGTTGGGGGGGGCTAGGGCAGCCACTATTCACGTGAATAGTAGCCGCCCTAGGGCTCCCTTTTCCATGGCAAGGGGCTAACTGGTGGAAGTGCTCTTAGGGAAAGAGCCAATGTGAGATGTGTGGAAGGATAAATTACTCACATACCAAGTATGGAAAGAAAATGGCACAACTTGCGTCACACAGATCAAATCATGGTAAACCTTGAGACCAATCTTTCTTCTAGATGTACATTGAAAGTGAAATAAGTTGTGCAATGCACTGAAGGGATCCATCCACTGGTCATTTGGTATTTTATCTTCTCGGAGGTTGTAGGAACAAGAGTGGTTCATGGAACAATAGAAAACGTGAATTAAAATTATAACACTTTCATGTTTAATACTGTATTATACACGTACGCACATATTTTTCAATAATAGATTCGTGTTCTATACACGTCTTAAAAACTTGGTAAAATTCATGTTTTTTAAAAAAGCGAACTTACAATACTTGTATTGTACATGTACACACATATTTTTCATGTTTAAAACACATTTGTTTATAAAATTTTCAATAATACACACAAAATTCATGTATTAAACATATAATTCTCACATAATACTAAATAAAAATATATAGATAAAAAAATTAAAATTAATTATACTTGGGAGTTTCACTAAAACACCCAAAATAGGGGCTGAAATTATAAAAAAACACAACACCCAAAACACTTTATAAACACACCCAAAACCCATCATTACACACACTCAAAACCCATTTATAAACACACCCAAAAAATACACAATTGTTGATTTTGGGTGTGTTTTTATGTTTAAATAGTGTTTGGATTTTTTTTTATAAATACATGTCCAGGATTGGGTTTATTTATAAATTTGTATTTTTTTTTATGATATAGTATAGCCGCGCGGCTATACCTTCTAAATATAATGTATTTCATGCGTATAGCCGCCCGGCTTTACTGCGGTTTTTTTTATAAATAAAATAGTCTAGCCGGACGGCTAAACTACGGTTTTTTAAAACTAAAATAATAAAGCCGGGCGGCGATACTGTTTTAACATGTGCGCACATAGATGCGAGGCGGGTTTTATTTTTATTTTTCAATTTTATAAACTGTATAGCCGTGCGGCTATACTTGGTTTGTTTTTTTTTTAAAACGTATAGCCAATCGGCTGTACTGGGCTTTTTTTTATTTAATTTTTTTTCCTCAAATAGTTTAGCCGGGAGGTTATACTCGGTTTTTTATTTTCATTTTAAAAAAATAGTATTGCAAAGCGGCTTTACGGGGCTCATTTTTATTTAAATTTTTTTTTCATAAATAGTATAGCCGCTCGGCTAGACCCGGTTTTTATTATTTTTATTTTAAATAGTATAGCCGTTCGGCTATACGAGTTTTTATTTTTTAAAATTAGTTCAGCTGGAGGCTGTACCAGCTTTTTTTTAAAATATAATAAATAGTTTAGCCGTTCGGCTATACTCGATTTTTTATTTTTTTTAAAATATAGTATAGCCGAGCGCCTTTACTGAGCTCTTTTTCTTTATTATTTTTTTAATAAATAGTATAGCTAATCGGCTATACACTTTATATATATATATACTGGGATCCTTTTCTTCGTTTAAATTTTTTCCTCGATATTTGTTTATCGATGACAACCGTTTAGAGTATTATCCATTATGATTAGGCAATTACCCCAATCTCTATTGTCCCTTTTGGATTTTTTTTATTTTCCATAGTTATTACCCGTATAAAGAATTTAGCACTTTCACCTTTAATACTATATTATACACATACGCACTTATTTTTCAATAATAGATTCATGTTCTATACGCGTCTTAAAAACTCAGTAAAATTCACGTTTTAAAAAAATCAAACTTACAATACTCGTATTGTATATGTACGTATATATTTTTCATGTAAATACAAGTATTTTTTAATAAAATTTTCAATAATACACACAAAATTCACGTATTATACACATAATTCACACATTTTTTTTAATATATTAATTATAAGTCAAGACAGCCTAGGATGCAATCCCGTTAGAACTATTTGAATTTTA